TGTTGCGTAGTTTATTTTTAGGTGAGTGTCATGATGCCACCGGCCATTTTGGATATAAAAAGACAGTAGCCAATCTGCTGCAGAGGTTTTGGTGGCCCTCGATGATGCGAGATGCCCAGCTGTACGTGGAGCCTACTGTTAGAGAGACAAGGCACGTACTCAGGCTCCTCTTGGGCTCCTGAAGCCCCTTTCGATTCTGGAAAGGCCCGGTGAGAGCTTGTCCATGGACTTCATGGATACGCTGGTCACCAGCAGGAGCGGAATGAGACATCTTCATTACCGTGGATAGGTTCGGTAAGTATGCTAGGTTAATTGCCATGCCAGAAACAGCGAAGACTGAGTACTTGATCAGATTGTTCAAGGACAATTGGGTCAGAGATTTTGGTTTGCCTAAGTCAATCGTGAGTGACAGGGATGTTAGATTCACCAGTGAATTGTGGAAGGCTGCTGCTGCGAAACAGGAAACACAGCTGCAGATGACTTCGGGTAATCACCCCGAGGCCAATGGCCAGGCTGAACAATTGAATCGCGCTGTCCAACAACTGTTGTGGCATTACATCAAGCCCAATCAGGTCGACTGGGGCGAGAAGCTTGCTCTCATCGCCAATCTGTATAACAATGATGTGCACAGCGCCACCGAAGTAAGCCCTGACAGTCGGTTACTGACCTTCAAACCTAGGCTGCCTCTAGACTTCTTACTACCTGAAAAGCAGTCAACTGCTGCACCCGGTACTTTAAAATTTGCATACCGATATGAGCAGAAGATGAAGAAGGCAGTGGGACAAATGCAGAAAGCTCAGGCGGCAATGATAGAATTTGAGAACAAACATCGTCGCCCGTCTACATTTCAGGTTGGGGACAGAGTCTGGGTTAAGTCCTCAAAATTGGGACAGGAGCACGAGATTTCCCGCAAGCTCATGCCTCAGTACTTTGGGCCATGGGAGGTCTTAGACATTATCAGGACTGATCCGGATGGACCGTCTTTTGTAATCCGGATCCCTGGTCATCTCCGCGCTTATCCTGTCTTTCACACCTCTAAGCTTGCACCTTCCAAGGAAACTGATCAGTTTCCCTCTCGTCGCTCAATGCTGCCCCCAACCATGGATGGAGAGGTCGACATCGATGACATCGTTGACCACAAACCGACAAGCAGGGGACGTCCTCCGAAACCGAAGCTGCAACACCGGGTTCGGTTCAGACATCACATGGATCCAAAGGAGGATCGATGGTTTACCAGGGAGGAACTGATGCAGACCGCTCCTCAGGTTGTTGCCCAATATGAAAGTCTTTGCAGAAGGGAAAGCGCCAGATTATCGAAGACTGAACTTCTCAGAGGACTATCAAAGTTATGGAGGGAATGCGAAGCCAAGGCCCCGATGAGCCCTTTTTTGGCTCTGATTGCAAGACGCCGGCCGCCCTAAGTGAAGGCAGGCTCGACGAGGGCCTGGGGGCCCCTATTTCGGTCACCGCGCAACAGTGGAAAATTCAGGCAGTTGCGCAGCGCCAGTTGGTTGAAGAGCACCCAGGCCCAGGCCGCCTGTTTGCATGTATGGAAGGCAGGCCCTGGGCTGGATATGGGATATGGGCCACAGGCCGAGGACAGTTTGGCACAAGTAACCACCACAGGCCCTGGGCCTGATTCGTTTGGACTGGGCCTCAGCCTACCGGGCCCTACCGGAAGCTTCTTTGGACAGGCCCAGCGCAGCAGCAGGCTGGCCACTTCCATATAGCAAAGGGCCTGCCTCCGCATTGGACATTCGGGTGCTGGCTGCACGCTGCGCAAGCGCTGATGCTGGCTAGCGCTCACGGGCGAGCTGGAAGGAGCAGGCAGCCATAACCGAGCTGCGCTGCTGTGAGCTGGGTGAGGCGCAGGGTGGTCCTTGGGTGCATGTGACATCTGTGTGTTGGGGAACGAGGTTGTGAGTAAAGCGAGAGACATACCTGGTGCTGGAAGCGTGCGGCATTGGCCACCATCTGCTCGTACTTCGGGAGAGCTGTTGTCGTCATCTTCGGCATTGTAGTCTAGGCTAGGATCTGCCATCTGTAGTCTGGGTGCCGAGCGCCAGATAGGATATCAACATTGGTTCTTCGTTGATGATGATGATGAGACTATTCCAGCATTGTCAATTACGAGCTTTTGGTGTGCTCTTATTTGGTGAAACTCGTTATGCAATTCTGCTGTTGGTTCGAGGTCACGACTATCTGGTCTTATGTGTATGACGCTGTTTGATTGCTGAAGTTCGCTATTGCTCATCTTCCTTGCACTTGGCAAAATGCCTCGAAAATTTATATGCATGGACCGCATGTCATATAGAACTCACAAAAAAACAATCAACCAAAAAAACAATTTTTAGGCCCCAAAATAATTTTTGGCGGGGGCCAAACGCCTTGAGGTTTGGACCCCGAACGCCCGAACGTTCGGCCTGGTAACCTATATAGTCAAACAGAGCTGCCCGTAAACCGTAGGCAGAGAGGGAGAAGAGGACAACAAACGAGGGGCTGTGGCAAACTGTTTCGTCGGAGTTTCACTGACTCATCAGGAGGCTGAACCCTCAACAGTCTGCAGAATCCCCTAACTGATTACACTAATTGATAATCCACCTTAATATATATATGACAATAAACCAATCATTGAATTCAGAACAAGAGCATTGGTGCAGAAGGTCGCACACAAGGGGCACAGCACAAAGTCAGAAACTGACAGACACATAATACACTCTCATCAGTGCAACAATGCAATTCCACAGACATGATAAAAAGAACTGAAACAGGCAGGATAGTGCATTCATAGTTGATACAGACTCCCACTTGGATCGACCGGGGTCAGCTTGGAAAGCATATCGCGCTGCTTTCTTGAATTAGTCCGCCCTTCTCTTGTCTCTGCAGCTTCATTGAGAAACCGTGCGCTATTTGCTGCGCGACGCTCAGGGCCAAATACCTCAGAGCTAGCCAGCAAGATTAATTCTTCTCATTGGTTGTTGCATCGACATTTTCCTAATGTTTCGCAGTCAACCGACCCAAAGCAACACTCACTCATATCAGTGAACGGACCCAAAGCAACACTCACTCATAGCAATCAACCGACACAAAGCAACACTCATAGCAGTTCCTAATGTTCCGCAGTCAACCGACCCAAAGCAACACTCACTCATAGCAGTCAATCAGTCAACCAACACAACGCAACACTCACGCATAGCAGTCAAGATTAATTCTTCTCATTGGCTGTTGCATTGACATTTTCCTAATGTTTAGCAGTCAACCGACGCAAAGCAACACTCACTCGTAGGTCAGTCAACCGACACAAAGCAACACTCATAGTGTGGTTGACTCATTTCCCGGTGTGAGATATGTAGAGTCAAGTCAACCACAGAAAGTGGAAAACTCATATCTCTGTGTGAGTCAGAGATACATAGCAGTCAAGCACGCAAAGTTATATGCGAGTTTTTATTCTCCTTCACAGCCTCCCAAAGACATTCTGCTCCTCTACCTAGATCCCCAGGCTATAAACTAAATGACCATGGCAAAAAAAAAAAAAAAAAAACATATCGACGGAGTTGTTTGGCACCTTGTCATCTCTCGATTCTGTGCAATGCAAGAAGCAGTATTGGCCGGTCGACTGACTGTGGCAAGCACACAGGAATGCTGTCGTCTTCTCCGAACACAATGCACCACGAACATGAATGCAATTCAATGCATACAAGCTACTTTTCCGGTTAGATGCAGTCTATAGGGGAAGCCGCATTGCATTCGGGGAAAGCCTTGGAAGGTCATCCAAGCGTGTCATCCTGAAAAATGGTCTGAGTCAAGCTGTGGAACTTCCTCCTCAGTATCTCTAGGCTGACTGACTCGTACATAGTCTGTGGTGGTGAGATCAGGCCATTTCAGACTATCATTCGAACTGTGTCATCCTAAAAAATGATTTAAAATCGTAGTCTACAGACTCGTACGTAGTCCGTGGTAGTGAGATCGGACCAAAACTCCCTGCACAAAGCTCGAAGACCCGACTTGACAGCAGAGGCGGATACGCTGGGTAAGCAAGGTCTACTGTTGCAGGAGGCACAGGACGCAGAGGCGGATACGCAGGGTTCAGCCTAACACACCAAAACCGAAGACATGCGACAAGGAAAGAGTATAAGCTCTCTGTTTTTTAGCCCGTGAGTGGCTTCCGTAAAAATTCTGCTTTTGAGCCCGCCTGTGGCTGCTTTCCTTGCAGATATGCTCTCTTGAGAGGCATACCCCGTCTTGCAAAAGACTGCGCGTGAGCCACAAGGAGAGAATATAACCTATGTCCGACTCGAGCATGACAACTGGGATGATGTAAAATGATGGGAACGTGTTCGGTTCCATGACCTTTGGCCGGGGCGAACTTGACAGTGCACCTACCTGCCACCAGCCCGCTTGAGAAAGAAAAAAGCACCTTTCGCATTTCTAATTGTCGTTCTTGCTTCTTTTTTTCGCATTCGCGGTGACAGGAGAACAAATTCGATGTCACCACAGGTTGCCAATTTCAAATACACATACGCCAACAACAATACTGCAGATGCAGATTTTTCAAAAATATTCACACCACCTTCTAGCATATAACTCCGTCTTTCGTCTTCCGCCGACCACCACCAGCATCATGATGTTCCCCTGGTCAAGTACAAAACGGCATAAATGTTACAACTTACAAAGAGAATTCACCGAGCGCAGCAGCAGCATAATTCCTACTGATCGGCAGAGCAATGGCACCTGCTCGCCTGAAGTCTAAATGGTGGTGGTCTTTTTTCCTTTCCACTGTTTCCAGACTCTCCTTCGGTCAAAAAGAAAGTATTGCACTTTGAGAATCATGGCGAATGTCAGGCAAGCCAGCAGAGATGCTGAATTGAGCCACCACTACAACTGCCACCATCTTCATCCGAAACGCCGAAAGGTGAAAACACTGGGAACTCATCCTCCCCGCTATTCAGCCCTCCGTAAATTTAGCTGTATCACAGCTTCAACTCTCACGGCTGCCCATCATCACACACCTTGCTTTATCGCATCGCACCATGTAATTCCTGCATGCATGTCAATGGCGGAGCTGCACTTCACTCTCGCAGCCTGCAAATGGCAGACTCTGAGCCGCAAGCCGCAAAGCGGCAAAGGTGATCTTGGGCTCCGATTCATCTCAGCCGAGGATTGGTAACAGCAGAGAGTGCATATCTCTCACAGCCGGCCAAGGGCGGCCACACACGCCCAACAAGCTTTACATCATCGCTGCAAGAATCAATCAACTGCTCGAATTTTTGCAACGCAGACGTGCAAAGTCTGTGGCACAGGCTTTGCTATGCCACAGCGAATTTTGGCCAGCTACCAAACCTCCGGCTGCTGTGTCGTGTGACCGGCCGACACACCACAGACACTAGATATGTACACTGCACTATTTACAGACATGGTCTCGGACAAAACAGATTACCCAGCAGTTGCAGACTTCCAGCTGAAAAGGAAAGGCAGAGAGGGTGAGAAATTACTACATTACGGCTCAAAAGCTGAGTTTTTTACAAGACAGGGTGCCTGCCTCTCAAGAGAGCACATCTGCAAGGAAAAAAGCCACTCACGGGCAGTCTGTACTGACTCTGTAGTGATACAAACAACCCGGACGCTGCACCGAGATGCAACAATCAATCTTTCAATAGTGCCTGCTGAGTCTGATGATCTGAACCGTTGATAGACAACAGCCACTGACATCAGTGATATCGGCGATGGGCGATGGGTGATCCCACCGAAAACTGGTAAAAAAAGTTAAGAAAAAAGGCACTCCTGATGGTAGAAACACATACCAAGAAATAGCTGACAACATGATCGCAAAATGCTGAGGAAGAGCTCTCGGATGACTCGCTGAACTTGGATCAAATGTGCGGTGATGGCCACGCCTGACTGGTGTCAATCATTCAGTCCCTTGGCCCATGTGGCAATGGCACTCCCTCGGTGGAAATTCATCGGCATAGCACTAGTAGTTTAGCATAGACTATGCTCTCCGGTATAATCAGAAGTCTGACCACACAGTTCTTTGAACATACAGGTCTCTGCTCACCGATGGCTGCAATTGGCGACCACCCATCTGCACCCTCTCTGCGCGTGTCCGCCTGCTCGAATGCCCCCTCTGAGACCTTGCCCCACAAAATAGGGATGGCTCCCGACGGGGTTCCCACCAGCCGTTGTGAACGCACGGCAGGCCACCTCCACGCCTTCTCTCTGCTCGACTCTTTGACTGTCTGTCTGTTTTTGCATGTATGCCCAGTCTGTGAAAAATCTCGCCCCCAACGTTCTTCCATCTGTTATTCCCCAAAGCTTGTGGCTTTGCTACGAGCATTGTCACTAGGGATCACGAAAGCACCGACGGTCAGGTGCACACGAACACAGAGGAACATAAATCCCTTGCTCTGCATCTCCCAAGGAAGACCAGTCCCAAACTACCACATTTGCTCACATAAAAGCTATAAGAAAAAAACACACAGGTATGGCATGTCTGGCAATGTCAGCGCTAGCCAATCAAGCAGAAAAAGACTTAATTGAAGACAAAACATTGGCCTCATTGATCTCCCAACCCCCTTACGGAAAGCTGTGGCTTTATGCAAGCTGTGGAAAGATGTATGACACAAATTGTCGAACGAACCTCCTATGAACATCTGGCATCGGATATCCATGATTCTCATCGCCGGTCCATAGCATAGAAAAAAGAAACAAAAAACTGCGGTCCTCGGACCGATACGAAAAACCTCCACTCCACGGCACGCAAAGAAAAATCTACGGTTTCCACTTCGGATTCCGACAGCAGTGCAAATCCGCTACCCAAGCAGTGCACTCTGCCGCCCCTCACACCCACCCCCCTCTCCTGTACACAAACCTAATATGCTAACTTTTCCCATCTGAAATCACTCGCGTCTGCATGCCAACGGACTCTGACAGAGACTTTTGCAATCACAATTCAACAGCAATGCAATCCCAATGGAATTACCCTTCCTCGTTGGCAGCCTCTGGATGGTAGTGTAGCATCTCCACGTAAACTTTTTCTCTGAGAACCTCCTCTTTGAGATCTTCCTCCTCAAACTCGAACTCGAACAGGGTGGGCGCTGTTGGCTCCAGTGCTGGGTCATGAAGCATGGCCAGGTACGGGTGCTCGAGCGCTTCCTGCACAGTTATCCGGCGGCGAGGATCGAACACCAGCATCCGGTCAATGAGGTTGATGGCTAACGCATTGGATCGGGGAAAAAGGCGGGCAATGGACACTCGGGAAGTGAACGGGAGCGAACGAATGTAGCTCCTCGCCTTCTGGCTTGAGATGAAGTGAAGATCTTCCTCGCTCGGCGAGCCAATCATGCCGATAATTAGTTTCAACTGATGGATGTAATCTTTACCCGGGAACAGCGGCTTTCTGCCAAGGAGCTCAGCAAAAATGCAGCCAACAGACCAAACATCAATAGCGCTGGTGTACTCTTCGCAAGAGAGCAGCAGCTCTGGCGCCCGATACCAGCGAGTAACAACATACTCGGTCATGAACCCTTTCTCACTGCCTGTCCTCGCAAGACCGAAGTCGCATATCTTCAGGTCGCAGGTGGCATTCAAGAGAATATTGCTTGGTTTCAGATCCCTGTGCAGCACATTTGCAGAGTGCACGTACTTCAAACCCCGGAGGAGCTTTTGTGCACCAAGACAACAACAACAACAATTCATTGCCCAACATCCACCCCAGTCAGCAAGCGAGCTTTCAGCTTTCACCCCACAAATCGTGGCAGAGTGACCATACTCGATAACCCACGGGAGCATTGGCAAATGCAATCCAAGAGGCGAACTACGGGAATTGAACCCGCTTTAGACAGACTCGGCTCACCGAGGCAAATAACAGCAATCGAACCAGTGTTAGACAAGCGCAAAGCGGCGTGCCTGCAGAAGCAGGAAAATATACAGTAAGGCCAACGGCCCGCCAGTCACTTTGCCAGACAATAGCTTATTTTAATATTTTGTTATGCAATTTTTTATTTTTTATTTTTACCCTAAAAGAATGAGCCAACTGATTGGCAAACATCCATTTCAGTCAGCAACTGTAAGTTCTATCCCCCCCACACACCGCACGCTGCAGTCAGCTTGCAGAGTGCATACACTGCCTACACTGCACTTGCTTCACATGACACAGCAACCGACAAAACCAATGCATCACCGACTCATCTGACATCCCTCAATTCAGCAATTTCGCTCGCACAGTACATAATACACTGCCTACACTGCACTTGCTTCACATGACACAGCAACCGACAAAACCAATGCCTCACCGATTCATCTGACATCCCTCAATTCAGCAATTTCACTCGTCGGATTCAAATTTCAAACTAAGGTTTGCATCTCAACAGCTTACGGGTGTACCAACTGAGCTAGGATTCACCGGTTATCCTTTGCTGTCAGCAAGTGGACTTTTCATTCCCCACAAGGCATGCATGAGCTTGCAGCTTTGCACACTTCTCCACATTTTTGCACAAGACAACCAAGCACCCTTACGGCTGCCGTCACAACACCTCACAGTGCTGACACAGAGAAACATTGAGTGACAGACTTTCACCAGGCTTTCATAGGCTCATCACAAGAATATCCCACTCTGCCATGAGCACAGCAGGAAGCCACGCCCTTCATATCATCGTGAACACATCATGACGCCAAAACATTCCTGCCAAGAGCACATAGGTTCGTTCTCCCTGAGTGACCCTACAAACCACACACCTGAAACCAGAGTAGTTTGACACGAGTATCGTAGGTAAAATCATACTAAAATGTGATGAATGTGCTACGATTGCTATCCCACCGAATGCATAAAAGCACGTGTTTGTGCTTTGCCACTGCCTGCCAACATTTACTCAGTAGCAGTAGGAATGCGAAACGGGAAGAAACAGAACAGCAAAAGTGCAAACGAGGAACATAAGAAGCAGGCGTACATGTCCTTCAGGACATTCGTTAAAATTGGAACGATACAGAGAAGATTAGCATGGCCCCTGCGCAAGGATGACATGCATAAATCGAGAAATGGTCAAAAAAAAAAAAAAAAAACAGGAAGAAGCAGGCGTACGAGCCACATGAACGCAGAAAAATATGGCAACCGTCGAAAAAGAGATTACAATCTGGGGCACTCGACATGATCAGTGGTTGAGCAGGAGATGCCCGAACACTGCGAACAGCCATTTGATCCAATGGTCATCCTGCTGCCATTGCTCGGAAACGGGAAGAGAGAGAGAGAGAGAAGAGGTGTAAAAACCAAATGAACACAGAAAAAAATGGCACTGTCGAAAAAATCATTACAACCTGCAGCACTCAACATGTTCTTTGGTTGAGCAGAAGATGCCCCAACAGCCATTTGATCCAATGGTCATCCTCCTGCCGTTGCTCGGGAGTGTGAGGCTTCTAAGATTGAAATAAGGCCACATTGCAAGCGTACGAAGGTCCAATTTTTCCAGCCTTTCAAATAAGAAAAAAGGTTAAAGCCTTTCAAGCATACTTGCAACCGCACGAGCCGCACATTCGTGCCGAGTTCTGTGCGGAGTTCCGTGCGGGGGGTGCCTGTGCGGAATCGTGCAGGTTTTTTATTTTTATTATTATTATTTTTATTTTTTTTGGGAGGGGGAACAGGGAGGGGTATGACAGGAAGATGGGGATATGGAAGGAGAGGGGGATATGGAGAGGAGGAGGAGGTGGTGGACGAGGAGGACGACGAGGACAGCGAGGACGACAAGGAGGAGGAGTCGAGATGGGGGAGGAGAGATGGACGGAGGGAAAAGAGGAAGGGCAGGAGGAGGAGGACGAGGAGGAGGAGGAGACATGGACGGCGAGGAAGGGGAGGACACGAGGAAGGGAAGGAGACGAGGAGGCATGGAAGATGAGGAAGTACGAGGAGGAGGAGACAAAACCATGGAAGGGCGGGAGGAGGAGGACGAACAGGAGGAGGAGGAGGAGGAGGAGGAGGAGACAAAAAGGAGAAGGGAGGAGGAGACATGGAGGCTGAGGAAGGGGAGTAGGAGCAAGGTGAGCAGTACTCCTGTAAAATTTTTTTTCATCTCGCTTATAGTTTTGGCGGGGGGCCTCAAATGCAACGTTTCAACCCCGGCCTTTTATTTTTTTTCCGAGGGGGGTGACAGGTCGTTCTCCGCACACGCCGTGCGCCGCACGTAGGGAACCGCCCGCATGATGTGCGCTTGCATGTATGCTTTCAAGTGAAAAAATAGTTAAAAGCCTTTCAAAAAAAAAAAGGGGGTTAAAAAAAAAAAAATGTAGGTCCAGTCTTTTTTACAGGAGATCCACTGGGCCAAATTGACAAGCAGGATGCCATAGCAAATCAGGTGGTTGAAACAGGAAATATTCAAGACACAGCAAGACCTTCAGTAAAATGGGATAATACTGCTGCTATCGCGTGCTAAGGTTTTCTAGCGTTTCTCTTTCCACTTTCCATCACCCGTGGGACTCCGGCCTATCAAAGGATAGAAGAGAAGGCACTAATGCGAAGTTCTGAATCTTAATCATGTGGGGAATACCGCGTTGTAAGCCATCTGCAAAAATTGCATATACGGTTCGAACTTCGAAGCGCATGCCATGCAGGCATGTAAAGAGCAAGAGTACTGGTGAAAGGCAGAGGAGACCACGAGGAGCTCGACAGGTAGGGAAGACAGAAAGGTTGGGTTGGACGTACACACCTCGGAGGGTTGTGAAGTGCAGGCTAAAATTTAAAAGGCCGACCGCCTTGAAATGCCATTGCCACAGTCACACTCCCCAGGTAATCCTGAAGTCGCTACATCATAACAATCCGCTAATTTGTAGGCCTGTGACCAGCAGACGATCGGGGCCCTCCAATTCTTCGCACCGCGACGATCCCAATCGCCCGCTGATCGTTTTTGCTTAGAAGTTGAACCGTCGCACAGCACGGCACCAGTGCCGGTGCCACACAAGACCCACATGCCAGCGGCGGTGCCACGCACGGTACCAAGCCCGTACGGCAACGCAAGTACCACCGCACATTAGCTGGCCAGCACCAGTACTGGGCACAGCACCGGGGCAGTCCGCATATAGTAACAAACTCCATGGGTACGCGGCACTGCCCCGGTGGGTCGACTGGACGCCGGATTGCTCTACATTCAATTCATTATGTCTCGACGCCGGAGCAGATGATGTCGACTGCAGTCCAACTAGATGTTCTAAGCAACTACATTACGACTCGACGCCGGAGCAGACAATGTCAACTGCAGTCCAACTAGATGTTCTGAGCAACTACTCTACGACATTGTCGACTGGACTCAGACTCGACACTCAAAGCTACTCAACGACGTTGCCGAATGGACTTTGCACTACTCTACGTTACTCAAAGCTCGTCTCCACGCATTCTACACACAGACACACAAACACACTTTCCTCTCTCTCTCTCTCTCTCACACACACACACACACACACACACACACACACACACACACACACACACACACACACACACACACACACAGAGAATGTTGTTCCTAAGCTTTTGCCGTGCTTGAGATTGGGCTGTGCATCGGGAAGGGCTCTGCATCGAGAAGGTTTGACGCTGAGGCTTGGGCTGTGCATTCAAGCACGCCAACATGACTGAAGGTGAGTTAATTCCTGTTTTCATATCTTCATTTCTGCTGCTTTATTTGTGTGTGTGTGTGTGTGTGTGTAATTCCTGTTTTCATATCTTCATTTCTGCTGCTTTATTTGTGTGTGTGTGTGTGTGTGTGTGTGTGTGTGTGTGTGTGTGTGTGTGTGTGTGT